TGGCATGGCCAAAAAGGAAGGATAAAAAAGCCACATGTATCCTGTTACAGGCTGAACGGTATCTTTCCAAGATTCATCTGTTGAAGTCCTAATCCTCAGACCATGACCGCACTTGCAGATGGGGGTCTTCGAAGAGGTGATTAAGTTAAAATGAGATTGTTAGGGTGGGTCCTAATGCAACATGAAAGTCAAAGTCGCTCAGTCGTGTTTGACTCTCTATGACCCTACGGGCTATACAGTCCATGGCATTCTCCAGGCCAGAATACTGGGGTGGGCAGCCTTTCCCTTCTCCAGGGGATCTTCCCAACCCAGGATCGAACCCAGATCTCCTGCACTGCAGGCGGATTCCCTGCCAGCTGAGCCTCCAGGGAAGCCTGGTGTGCTTCTAAGAGGAGATCAGGACACAGGAGGGTGGCTGTGTGTGGAGACGCGGGAAGACGCCCAGCTGCGGGCCACGGAGAGAGGCCTCAGCGGGAACCAGCCCCGCAGCCACCTTGACCTTGACCTTCCCGCTTCCGGCACCGAGAGACCATAAACGTGTCTAGATCTGCGTCTGCGTTTCAGCTCCCCGGCCTGCAGTCCTTTGTGACGGCAGCGCTAGCGGCTAATACGCAGGCTTTCACCCCACCTGGCTTGCCGCCTGTGTCCCCGTCCTCTGTGAAAGACGCCTCCACCAGCCAACGGCTCGAGCCAGAAAGAAGCTAGGGTCCCTCCGCTTCCCCCCTCTCTGTGCAGTTGCCCGCGGCACTCCATGTTGGTGTTTAAAACGTGTATTTATTTATTTTTGGCTGCGCTGGGTCCTGGCGGCAGCACATGGCTCTCCGTTGCTGTGCAGAGGCTTTCTCCAGTTGTGGGGAGTGGCGGCTACTCTCTGCGGTGGTCCTCGGGCTTCTCCCTGCCTTTGCTTCCCTTGTCGCGGAGCACAGGCCCTAGAGGTGGGTACTTACGGCCCACAGGCTTAGCTGCCCTGCAGCATGTGGCGTCTTAGTTCCTAGACCAGGGATCGAACCCATTTCCCCTACATTGGAAGGCGAATTCATAACCACTGGACCACCAGCGGAGTCCCCTACATAGCTCTTAAATCAGTAACTTCTCTCCATGTCTTCAGCCACCACTCCCCAAAACTGACTGACCACACAGTAGGCAGAACTGCCAAGCTTAATGTTTCTCAGCAGCTGGAGCCTCAGTGGGCACGACCTTATGTTGCCAGGTGGGTCAGCACTTCGTGGCAATGGGGGCCTGCATGTGGGTGCCACCCAGACATCCTCCATAAGCCACAGACTGTGACCCAGAATGCCACACTGCTGCGGTGTTTGGAAAACCCACCAGGAACTTGGGTATTACACCCAGTTCACACCTCTTGCAGTCATAGAAGGCATGCGTGCGTGCTCAGTCGTGTCCAACTCTTTACGGCCCTATGAACTGTAGTCCGCCAGTCTCCTCTGTCCGTGGGATTTTTCAGCCAAGAACACTGGAATGAGTTGCCATTTCCTCCACCAAGGAATGACCCAATTCCTGACTCAGGAATTGAACCCACGTCTCCCCCATCTCTTGCACTGCTGGTGGATTCTTTATCTGCTGAGCCTTTGGGGGGAGCCCCCGTAGAAGGCAAACATGGTGTAATTTCAGAATGAGGTGTTTAGGAGAGTAAGAGTTCCCTACTTAGGGCTCCTCTCAAGTCAGAAAGCCCCTACCCTGGACTCACAGGATGCTGTCCCCGTTAACCCAAACGTGTCTCCTGGGAGGAAGTTCGAGGTTGAGGCTCGCTCACCAAGCATCTTCCTGGGCCTTTCCTGGTGCGTTGCCCAGATCCTGGCCTCTGGTTCATTGAAATGAATGGAATGTCCACATGATTAACGTGTCTGTGTGCTTTCTCTCCAGGCCCTGCAGGGTCATTTCACACAGGCCCAGGACGCCAGCAAGCCAGGGGCACCAAGCAAGTATGAGAGCAGACAGACTAGAATCCTGCAGCCGTCAGATCTAGAAAGATGCCGTTTACAACAAACATTAGGTCTGAATCTCTGACGGGAGCCTAACCTGGAATTCTGGTTGAAGAGGGGGATGCAGAGAAGAGAGAGACGGGGATCTTCTCTGCCAAACCCTGCCCACAGCAGCCAGGCCTGTCTCCTAGGACCCACTATTGACTGCAGGAGGCGGGCTGTGAGCACGGAGAAGCTGCCAGGCATCCTGTGACAGACGTACACGGTGGGAGCCGCAGACCCAAAGGAAGGAAGGAGGGAGCTGGTCTGAACAGAGACCAAAAACAGTGATGCTCAAGTGCGCATACTGAAAGATAAAGAAGAGGGGTTTGCCAGGCAGACTGGATGGACAGACAACCGCGGAAAGGTCTTGTATGGGGCGGGGGGTAGGAGTACAACTGGGGCAGGGTGGGCAGGGCCCACTGGGAGGTGGCTGCTGTAACAGGCAGGAGCCTGGCTACGGAGGGCTTGGACCACACCCGCCTGCTCCGATGTTATACAGAGGGGTGCCCAGAGGACTGGGCAGAGGGACCAGTCAGATGTGTGTAAAGAATCTTAAGGGGCTGCTTCTGGTGGCCCAGTGGTTAAGAATCTGCCTTCCAATGCAGGGGACATAGGTTCAGTCCCTGGTCAGGGAACTGAGATCCCACATGTCTCAGAGCAACTAAGCCTGAGTACTACAACTACTGAACCCACGCACCCTGGAGCCTGCTAGAGAGTGCGTGAGCTGCAACAAAGACTCCACGTGATGCAGGGAAGATACCACATGCCTGCAGCCAGGACTGCACTCAGCCAAACAGACAAAGAAACTTAAAAAGAAGCTTGGACCTCACAGACTTAGAGAAGGAGCTTATGGTTGCCAGGTGGAAGGATCAGGGGAAGGGATAATTAGGGAGTTTGGGATGGACATGTGCACACTGCTGTATTCAAAATGGATCACCAACAAGGACCTACTGTGTAGTACAGGGAACGCCGCTGAATCTTATGTGGCAGCCGAGACGGAAGGGGAGTTTGGGGGAGAATGCGTATGTGTGTATGTGCGACTGAGTCCCTTTGCTGTCCACCCGAAACTATCACAACTGTTAACTGGCTGTATGATGACATAAAATAAATAATACAAAAAATAAAAATTAAAGAAGCTTGGCCCCATGGCCCTTGTATTTTCAAATGACAACCTCAGTTTGCCCATCTGTCAAATGGGGATGATACGAGAATGTGCCTCATGGGGCTTGGTGCAGATTGATGAGTTGATATCACTAGGCATGCTTAGAATAATGCCTGGCACACATAGAGTATGGATCAATATGACCTCTTTTCTCATCGTGTCACTGGAACGGGCCCTGGGTGGCAGGCTCCAGAACACGGTGCACTTGTGATTGATGGCCTCTTTGCTGAGGGAAGTCAGGGCCGCCCAGCATGAAGCTGTTTGCTGCACATGACACCAGGCCAAGGGGTGAATGGTGGCCTGGATGCCGCCCACTGCAAATTGGCCAAACTGAATGCCTGGACATGGGACCGCACCCATCCAGAGAGTGGACGCCCTTTTCCAATTTGCCAAGCCTTCCATCGGGAGAGGCAGCTGGGGACTTTCTTTAACTTGTGCCTGATGTCCTGGGGTCCCCAGGGAAGGTGAAGAGGGCTTCTTTGTCACTGCCGTTCAGGGCGCGGGCTGCAGCGGAAGCGGACATCTCAGTGTGGTGTTAGGGGTAGGGAACTGAATTAGGAGGGAGGCCTGTCCCCTTGGTCCCCCCGGTCAAGGCCCCTTCCAGGGGGCACGCTTCCAGGGCCAGGTGAAAGCCAGTGGAATTCCACACTGAGCTAGAACCCACAGAACTTTGGAAGTGAGTGTCCCCAGTGAGTGTCTCCAGCCCCAGACTGAGTGTCGTGTTCAACACAGAACCTAGAGTCAAAGAAGCCTGGATTCAGATCTCAGCGACCCCAAGCCGCTGTGGCTGGGCCCTGACCTGCCAGGGCTCGGCTTTCTCATCTCGAACCCGGCGTGATGATGACAGCTTCCCCGGCACCTGGTAACAAGACGTGAACAGAGACACCGATGGCGACCAGCCTGGTGCTCAGCACACAGATGACTCCCCAGGACCACCAGCGACTCACAGCCCATCCAAGGCAGGGAAACGTGCATGAGCGCTTCCCACCCGTCCCTAAAATCCATGAGAAGGTCTTAATTTGGCCAGAGGTTTATTTTAATTAGCTAGCAGCAGGAAAGATGGATTCAGGAATGTGAGTGCTTGACGATTTCCCCAGGTGGTAGGGAAAAATATGAAATGACAAAAACAAACCAAGCAACATTCCTGAGGGGAAAGAGAGAGAAAGAGAGAGAGGGCCCTGTTACTAGCGTTGCCTAAATATAGCAGAGTGTATTTTTGTAGATGGCAAAAATGGTGTCCAGGCCGGGGAAGAAAATGCTGCCTCTTCCCAAGTTTTCCAGCTTGCTCTTTCATGAATAGCGGTGTCCAGGCACGTCTGGAAGCGTCCAGTTGAGGGAGTGTCAGCTTGTCAGCCTGACCACTGGGCATGATCCAGTGCAGAGGGACAAAACTCAACCGTTTTCCAACCCTTCGCATCATACCCAATGTAGTGATCAGACTGCGAGAACTTGTTCTTTCTTTTTAAATTTTTATTGGCGTGTAGTCACTCCACAATGTTGTGTTCAGTTTCTGCTGTACAGAAAGTGACTCAGCTGTACATACACAGGCATCCCTTCTTTTCTGGATTTCCCCCCATCCAGGTCACCACAGAGCACTGGGGAGAGGTCCCCGCGCTATACAGTCCGTTCTCCTCGGTCACCTGTTTTATCATAGTGCTGGGAGACCTTGCTCTTTCTCACCTCCATGGGGCTCTTCTTTCCGTCTGCATTTTAAAAAGGAAAAGATGAGCAGGAACTCCACAAAGGGGCTTCAGAGGCAGAATGTGGTCAAAGAGCTTCACAAACAAACAGGCGGCCTGCAGCCTTTCAAGCCCCTAATTGGGAACAGGTTAGCGGAGGCGGAGCCGGCAGTCGCCATGTGGTTCCCGACAGCGGCCTGCTCCTCGGAATTCTTTCGCTCTGATTTCGACATAAGCCATAACACCACCATGCAGAACCAATTAAAGCCGGCTCCTCAGAGGGGGCCGAGCCTCGGGCAGCGCAGGGTGGCTGGAGGGGGGACGCCCCGGGACAGCCTCCTCTGCGGGGGGCCACCCCCCACCGCTGTCCGGCCCGTGTCCTCCCAGAGGAAAACCACACGGCGTTTATCGTGAGTCCGCTGACAAGCTGGAGCGTTCCGTGGCTGGCCAAGAAGGTGATGACCTCGGAGCTGACCGCTGGTTGGCAGCAACCAGGGCATCAGCCGCTTGGAAAGGGCAGTGGGTCCATTGACACGGCATGAGGGGAGAGTGGGAAACTCCCCTTCTGGCTGCAGAAAGGGCCTTCAGTGCCGAATTCAAGAGAAGTGCTGCGTGGGGAGGGCGGGGTTTGGGAGTGGGTGGGAGAGGCTGAGGGGTGGAGTCTGTTTGGCATCTGATTAAATAAAGCATCCAAGAGCTCTTTCAGCAAACATCGGCGGGTGCCAACGTTGCGTCAAATCCTGACTCTGCCGTTGACCCACCGAGTGACCTCGGACCAGCAACCTCGCTGACCCCGGTCTCAATTTCTCACCTGCAAATGGGTGTGATTATAGTGTGTAGCCCACAGGTTGTAGTCAGGCTACACATGAACCAGTTCAAGCAAAATGCTTTAGAAAAAGCAGGAGTGCAGCAAGCATCAGCTGCTCTTAAGATTCCACTAGAGGGGTCAACATGTTGACAAAACCACACTGAATTTGTCAACTTTGCCTTCCGGGTGTCATGGGCAGACTGGTAGGGGAGCAGGTTTAGGTAAATTCATCCAACAAGTATTTAGTTCCTAGCTGCTTTCTAAGGCAAAGATTCATGTAGTCCTAGCTGCTTTCTAAGGCAAAGATTCATGTAGTCAAAGCCATGGTTTTTCCAGTAATCAGGTATGGATGTGAGAGTTGGACCGTAAAGAAGGCTGACTGCCAAAGAATTGATGCTTTTGATCTGTGGTGATGGAGAAGACTCTGGAGAGTCCCTTGGACAGCAAGGAGATCCAACCAGTCCATCCTAAAGGAGATCAGTCCTGAATACTCATTAGTGAAGTCACTCAGTCATGTCCGACTCTTTGTGAGTCCATGGACTGTAGCTAGCCCACCAGGCTTCTCCATCCATGGGGTTTTCCAGGCAAGAATACTGGAGTGGGTTGCCATTTCTTTCTCCAGGGGATTTTCCCCACCCAGGGATCGAACCCAGATCTCCTGCATTGAAGGCAGACGCTTTACCCTCTGAGCCACATTAGAAGGACTGAAACTGAAGCTCCAATACTTTGGCCACTTGATGCAAAGATCTGACTCATTAGAAGAGACCCTGATGCTGGGAAAGATTGAAGGCGGGAGGAGAAGGGGACGACAGAAGATGAGATGGTCCTCTGGAGGAGGACCCCAACCAGGACAAGGGGCCAGGGGACGAGGGGACTAAATCAGAGAGAAAAGGGCCAGCATCTGACAGCTGTGAGAGGAGCATGGGCAGGGGAGGGGGAGGTCAGGAAGGATTCCCAGATTTCCAGCCCAGGACGAGGCAGTGCCTCTCATCAACGTGGCGTTTGCAGATAGCAGAGCTGGGTTTGGAGAACATGGTGCCTTTTTGGACGTGTCGAGTTTGAGACGCTTGTGGACAGCCAGGTGGAGAGAGCCCTAGTGGCTGACAGGACAAGCCAGAGGAGGTGGGAGGTGGGTGTGTCATTTTGGCTGCAGGATATTTACTACCAACCATGACTCCTTCCCCCAGGACACTTCATCCCAGGCCTCCTGATGCCGGCTGGGAGAGAGGAGGAGTGTTGCAACATCCGAGGTGATTTATAGGGAAAACGTCCTGTGTGTTTGTTTCTCAGCACTGCCTTCCAAGTGGGAATCTAAAACCCCACATTCTGATCCAAAGTGTAATTTCCAGTCATTTCCACCGGCAACATTTGGTTCTTATTATCAAAAGATACTCACACAGATGTAGCATTAAAATCTTGGCTTCAGTGGATAAAGAAAACAAGATAATCTAAAGTATTGCAGCAACTCTCAGACATTTACGATTCCAAGAAATGGTTGTTGGAAAACTGCTCTAGAATATCCATTTCCCACTGTGTTTCTGGGTGGAAGGAAGACAACCAGTTGGTGAATTTTAGGCTGTTGAACTGAACTCTCAATCGGGAAGGTCCCAGGGCCTTAGACGGTGAATTCTTTACGGACAAAGGCCTGGGCATTTCCCCCTGGCAACCCCCAGGCCACACCCACAGGGCTCACTAAGTGTTTGTTGACTGAAAAAAGTAACAGCTGAATACCGTAAGTCAGGAAATGCAAGGTTTTCTCATTTGACATTTCCTTTCAAAGGCTCCGAGGGCTTAAGTTACAGGGAGAGGCAGCTTCTGAAAGTCAGAAACGGAAAAATATTTATACGGAACTGACGTCTTGACCTTGAATGGAGAACTTTTTATCTTTCCTGTGTCAAATTCTGTATTAGTGGTTTGGGGTCCCTTCAAATCCCAGTAACTGGTGTGGTTTTCCCCATTCATGAGTCCTGGATATCCTGAAAGCACTTTTTTTTTAAATGTAGTAATAGCTAATATTTGTGAAGTATATCTTATGTGCCAAGGACTTTAATGAATTATCTCATTTAATTCTAACAACAGTTCTGGGATGATGACATGCTTATTATATACAGACCTCATGACTCAGCCTTGGGAAATGTAGGCAATTTTTCCAAAGAGCCATTGCTAGTCAGAGGCAGAGCTGGTCTTTAAGCCTAAGGGATGTGACCCCAAGTCCCAATTACCCACTGTTCCTGGTGCTGCGCGGCAACTCACTGCAGTGTTCTTGCCTGGAAAATCCCATGGATAGAGGAGCCTGGTGGGCTACAGTCCATGGGGCCACAAAGTGTTGAACACAACTGAGCGACTGCACACAGCACACCTGGTGCTTCTGTGCTGACAGCAAGTTGGGGGCGGGAGGGATGGGTCTTCACAAACATTCCTCTGCTGACTCCTCTCCTTTTGGTAACCCTGAGCTAGGTGGTGTTACGGTCCCATATTACAGCTGGAAAACTAAGCCTCGCAGAGGTTACGCTGCCTGACACAACGGACTTGAACCTGGGTCCGAGGATGCCAGCGCGCCCCTTTGTCCTCACATCGGCCCCAGCACTCTGCTCCTCCCTCTGCGGCCCCCGACACCCCTCCTTGCCCGAGACCTACCCCGGCTCCATCAGACAGCAGGTCTCCATCAGGTCCTTCTGGGGCACCCAAGCTGAGAGGGGTCAGCTTCAGCCCCGGGGACCTCCAGGACCCTGTGTGGTCTCAGTGGAATGTGGCCGTGCCACGTGTGGATAAAGAGGCAAAAGGCATTGGACCACCTGCAGCTAATTCCTCATGAAGGAAGCCTGGATCCCAGCACACATCCTTCCTTCCGGCATCTCCCGTGCTGTTCGTCCTGCACGCCCGGCCACGTGGACAGAATCAAGAGACCGATCCAGTGCAATCCCTCTTAGGAGTCTGGCTTGCTTGGCAGGTCTGCCTCAAGGTCAGGGAAGCCTGTCTTTCTCCCTTGTGGTGCCTCTGTGACCAGCCAGCCCCCGCCCCACCCACCTGCCCCAGCGTGCAGCCGGCCTCTTGCAGCGCAGGGGAGAGGACTGGGTTCCCCGAAAACAGCCTCAGATGATGCAGGAAGCTGCCTGCTACAGTGCGAGCACCAGGAGCCCATTCTCACTATCTGCCCTCCACCCATCGTAGTGTCATGGGATCCAGGAGCGGCGGTTTACGGAGGTCTCTGTGGACCAGGCCACAACACAGACATTGCATGGAGTCCTCCCATCAGCCCAGCCAGGTGAGCAGGTTTATCTCCAATTTGCAGATGGAAGGTGAAGTCCAAAGTGGGCTTCAGGACCGCACAGCCCAGGTGCTTGGTGGTGGTTGTTGCTGTTGTTCAGCCGCTCATTCGTATCTGACCCTTTGTGACCCCACGGACTACAGCATGCCAGGCTTCCCTGTCCTTCACCAACCCCCAGAGCTTGCTCAAACTCATGTCCATTGAGTGGGTGATGCCATCCCACCATCTCGTCCCCTGTCGCCCCCTTCTCTCCTCCTGCCCTCAATCTTTCCCAGTATCCGGGTCTTTTCTAATGAGTTGGCTCTTTGCATCAGGTGGCCAAAGTATTGGAGTTTCAGCTTCAGTCCTTCCAATGAAGGTTGACTTCTTTTAGGATGGACTGTTCTGATCTCCTTGCAGTTCAAGGGGCTCTCAGCTCAGCTAAGTACTGCCTGGTTTTGAGCAAATCTCTTCACCTCTCTGTACCCTGGTTTGTTCATCTCATCAGCAAAATGGGTGCAATACAGGGGTTCTTCATCTGGGGTCACAGATTCCTGAGAGACCCTTGGAAAGGATGGAGGGGGGCCATAAAAGAGGATGGGAAAAGTTACCTCTTTATTTCCACCAACCTATAACTGAGGTGTAGCAATGCCTCCAACACCTCCAGAGGCACCAGTCCGACTCCCAGGAGAAGTCACATTCCTTGCAAAGGCCTGGACGGTCAATGCCAAGCCCGCTCCCCTCTCCCCTCTCCCCTTCCCTCCCCCACTCTGCTCCAGTCTCCTGGACCTCTCGAGCAGCCTTCCTCCTCAGGACCCATGCACTTGCTGTTTCCTCTGCCTGGGAAGGTTCTGGTCCTCAGGCCTCCAGATTCTATGTCAGCATCTTCTCACTGAAGTCTTCCTGCGGTAGTGGACACTGTGAGGCCTCGTCCAGACCCCTCTGCAGGAGAGGAGGGCTGGTCCTCTGGCTGCTGGGAGGCACCTTGCTCTCACCCCCTTTGAGGACTGTCTGCGTCCCAGGTGGCTCAGCTGGTAAAGAATCTGCCTGCGATGCAGGAGGTCCGGCTTCCATCCCTAGGTCGGGAATATCTCCTGGAGAAGGAAATGGCAACCCACTCCAGTATTTCTATTGTGGTAAATCCCATCGACAAAGGAGCCTGGCAAGCTACAGTCTATGGGGTCACAAAGAGTCAGACACGACTGAGTGGCTAAACCACCACCACGACCATCTGCTGAAGAAAACCTCCTGTTTAAGGACGCATGTCCTTCCAAGGCAGCCTCATCTGATGACAGGTCAGCACAGGGTATAAAAGTCAGATCTGAGACAATTCTGAAGGCTCATCTGTGTCCACAGCTCCCTGGAGGTTGGCTGAGGCTTTTGGCCTGAGTCTCAGTTCAACTTCTCCCAATGCCCAATCCTGCTTCCCTCCCCTCCTCCTCCTACACTTGGGGATCCCAACTGCACCCCCCAATAAATACCCCCACCCTAATCTCCAAGTTGAGCTTCCCAGGTGGCGCTGGAAGTAAAGAACCTGCCTGCCAATTCAGAAGACATAAGAGATGTGGATTCGACCTCTGGGTGGGGAAGATCCCCTGGAGGAAGGCATGGCAACCCACTCTAGTATTCTTGCCTGGAGAATCCCCACAGACAGAGGAGCCTGGTGGGCTACAGTCCATGGAGTTGCAAAGAGTAGTACACAACTGAAGTGACTTAGCACACATAAACACCATCTACAAATCAGAGCCTGCTCCCCTGAGAACTGAGTGACCCTGGTCACCCCACCTAAGATTGCAGATCCTCTCCCCAAACACTCACTGAGCCCTTCCTTCCCTGATCGCTGGCACCCGTCACCATCTACAGGCCCAGACTCACTTGTTTTTTGTCTGTCCTCCCACCAGAATGTAAGCTCCATAAGGACAGGATCTTGTTTTGTCATTTCACTGCCCAGAACAGTATCAGGCGCCATAACATCAACCCAAAATTCGTGGAATGAATGGTAGTGAGTAGCCACACCGTCTTTGACTTGTGGTGAACAAAATCCTCCACATTCTGTCTCCATGCTCTGTCGACTCTGACCTTCCAAGCTCGTGTAATTGATCTCGGGGCCTGACTCCAGATCTGGACAGCTTATCATGGCTAAATTCCATCCTGCTGGTTGTCTGGGTCCTGGGTCTGGCTCTAATGTGCTGGAGACCTGAGAAGCATTTATTTTGTTTTAATTTTTATGGGAGTATATTTGCTTTATGATGTTGTGCGAGTTTCTGCCATAGAGCCGAGTGCACCAGCCATACACACACACATATCCCCCCTTTGGACTTCCTTCCCGATCACATCACTACAGTGCGTTAAGCAGAGCTCCCTATGCCCTCAGATTGGGATTTGGGTGCAGTCCCTTGGACTTCAAGGAAATCGAATCAGTCCATCCTAAAGGAAATCAACCCTGCATACTCAATGGAAGGACTGATGCTAAAGCTGAAGTTCCAATACTTTGGCCACCTAATACAAAGAGCCAACCCATTGGAAAAGATTCTGATGCTGGGAAAGCCTGAAGCCAAAAGGAGAAGAGGGCAGCAGAGGGTGAGATGGTTAAATAGCATCCTTGACTCAATGGACATGAATTTGAGCAAACTCTGGGAGATAGTGAAGGGCAGGAGAGCCTGACATGCTGTACTATGGGGTCGCAAAGAGTCAGACACAGCTCAGCAAATGACGAACAAAAACAACCTACACTCTACAGTATGCTAAGAAGCTTGTAATTTAGAACTTCATCCAAGTCACCATTAAAAATGCTGGCATAAAAACATAAAATGCTGCATAGAACAAAACAGCTCTCCTAGTCATTTTCTTGGTAACGTTCATGTCTGCTTCTGTTGATCTCGGCCTGTGTTTATTTGCTGGTTTATTTCCACCCTCCGGCGAGCCTGCATGTTTTGTTAACAGCTGCAGCCCAGGGCTTAGCACGGTGCCTGGCGTGCTGTGGGCTCTTGATAAACATGCATCAAATGAATGAACCGCGCTCCCCCTTATAGAACGTGAGCCGTTTGGGGCAGAAGTCACATCCCATCACCTTTGAATCTGCCAGGAAGAGGTCTTCCAGCCTTAATACATGAGTTGCGGGGGCTGGAAGATGGCTGTGATTCAGGAGGTGTTGTGCTGGCCTCTGGGCCCCATCACCCCCAGGAGGCGGGTGTCATGTTTGCACACGCAGGCCGGTAAAGCTCTCTGACCCCGAGGGGCATCTCTCAGGGACCACTGCAGAGACAGGCTGCCTGGTACTCCCTGTGGCTCCCAGGGATGCTGGTCCTTGGGCTTCCAGTGCCATCCCCTGGATGTCTAAGGGAGCCCCGTGGAGCCAGCCACAGCTCTCTCCGTCATCAACCAAGCCACTAAGACCAGTAAACACTGTGTGTCTGGACTGTCATTTTCCCCACTGGGAGTTTTCCCCCAGCAGCTCTCCAGTTATCACACAAACAAGACCTCAGTGGGTTCACCCACTTGCTCTCACGATGTGCCCTGAGTATGTCTGAACGCTGGCTGGACCAGCTCAGCTTATGAAACTCACGCCCCCTCCTTCATCAATCTCGTGCAACAAGTATATGTCACATAGTGTTTAGGGCTCCGGGAACAGAGGCAAGCAAAGCCAAGTCCCTGACCTTAAGGGACATACACTCTGGTGGCGGGGGGTAAATATATGCATCAGGCGATGGGTGCTGTGGGAGAAAAATAAAGCAGGAGAGGACGGAGGAGCAGGAGCCATGGAGGAGGGGTGTTCCCGTTTTATTTAGGGGGCAGAAAGGGCCTCGCCTCAGAAGAAGGAAGCTTTTGAGATGTGTCCGTAAGGAGTTGACAGAGTTGGCCGCAGTGACATTCAGAGAAAGAACGTCTTAAGCTGAGAGAATAGCTGGTGCAAAGGCCCTGAGGCAGCAGTGTATTTGGCATGCTCAGTGAAGAGCAGGGAAGTGAGCAGGGTTGGGGTGGAATGAGTAGGGGGTGGTGGGGGGTCAGAAGGTAGAAGAGGAGATCAGAGAGACAGACATCAGTCCACGAGGTCAGACGGGCCTTGGAAGACAACCAGCTTCACTCTACTTGAGTTGGAAAGCATCGGAGGGTTTGAAGGACAAGGACACTCTGACTTGCACTTGAACTTGGTTTCTGGGGCTGCGGTGTTGAGAATGAATGGGCATGGACAAGGGGAGAAGCAGGCGTATGTCAGTGAGGAGGCTAATGCAGTTATCTAGGCAGGAGATAAGGGCTCAGCCAAGAAGATGGTAAGAAGGGGTCAGATTTTTTATACATGTTGAAGTCCAGCCAACAGGATTTGCTGACGGAATTGGATGTGGGATGAGAGAGAGAGAGAATCCAAGGATGAAGCCACATGATTTGGCCTGAGCAGCTGGAAGGATGGGTCTGCAGTTGACGGAGTTGGAAAGGAGTTCAGAGGAACAAGTCTGGGATAGAGCTGTCTGGACACAGGCTTTCTGACCATCTGTTAGCCATCCAAGCAGAGCTATCAAGTCAGTGTTTGAAGCTGAGCCTGGGGCTCAGGGCAGAGGTCAGGCTAGAGAGAGATTGGAGATCTGTCCCCCATGTCCACTCTCTGAGGTACTGCTAACCAGCCTTCTGGGCACTTTGTTAGGGGTCAGCCTGTGGGACTTAGGGGTCAACGCCTGGCTCCAGACCTTGAGAAAATCACTCCTATTCCCTAAGTCTCAGTTTCTCAACTGGGAAATACAACTAGCAGCGCTGTTGTTCAGTCACTGAGTCATGTCTGACTCTTTTGCAACCCCGTGGACTAACAGCCCGCCAGGCTCCTCTGTCCATGGGGTTCTACAGGCAAGAATACTAGAGTGGGTTGCCATTCCCTTCTCCAGGGGTCGAACCGGTGTGTCCTGCATTGGGACGTGGATTCTTTACTACTGAGCCACTAGAGAAACCCCAAACTAGCAATAATACACTACAGATTGATGAAGGTTTTAATCACTGAATATGCCTTGTCAGTATTGCTCTGGCCTTAACGAGCGCAGCACCTACAGATGCTATTTTGCTGGATGTGTTTGTTGTTGCTGCAAGTCCACCGCTCTTTGGACCAATGGTTAACTCTGGGCCATATCCCCCTGGCCACATCGAAAGGGACCAGGGTTGGGGCTGTGACCTCTGGACTGCCATTTGAAACGACGACCTGGTTTAGTCAGACTCCCTGGGCATGAATTTGAGTTGGGAATGAGGAAACCAGGGCCGTTGGTGGTGGGTCTGGAGCCGAAAGGCCCTTCTGGGTCACTTTCCATGTGAGCAAGCTGAGGAGAGTGTGACCTTGAGTACGAAACTTCACGAGGGCTGGCTGGACCCTGCTTCCATCCCAGGGAGGCCTGGAAGGTCATCTAGCCTATCTTCAATCCCCTTGAGTTCCCACTGGACGTCCAGTCAACAAAGGCGTATTTGTTGAGCCCAAGAGCCTCAGTGGGAACCTTACGGGGTTAGTTCTCGGTTAGCTTGCTGTGCAGGGGGTGGCTCCAGCTGTTCTGTCTCCAGCGGGCTCTGGAATGTTCCACCCCCAGCAACTGTGGACAAAAGGGTTGAAGTCTCTTCCAGCCCTGTTAGAACAAGTGGGTTCGGAAAGCTCTCTAGAACTTCTGGTGAAAAAGACAAGACGGGCTAAATCACAGGCCTCCCGTTTTCCCACCTCTGTACGCACGTCCACATGTGGGGCCACACCCCGCAGTAGGACAGGCCCTGGAGGTGCCGGTCTCATCTTCCGATTGACTTAGGAAACCAAGGAAGACAGACATCCCAGCCACAGGACGAGCGAAGCCAGCTTTGCCGGCTCTGGGCAGAGGGGTAGCCAGTTCCCAGGATGGGGCGGTATGAACCTGGGGGCGACCCCTGGGCCCCGCGAGGCGGGGGTCAGCACAGAGGGTAAGCCCCGCCCTGAAACTACTTCCTCCTCAGAGCTCGGTCTTGCTCCCACCAGGCCTCTTCCAAATTCTTTTCATCCAGGTGTTAACATCCCGCGGGCACACTGGACGTGATCAAGAAGGTGCCTTGTTGGGAAAGTGTACCGAGAAGGCGCCTGCTTCATATCCCGCTCCACCCCGCCGACCACCACCCGCCCACGTGACCAGGCACGAAGCAAGGGGGCCTGTCATGCCTCACCGTGCCAGCACTGCAGAGCGGCTGTCACAGCCCGCTATGCCCACAGCCCCCGCGGCGGCCCGTGCCTGCGCCGGGAGAGACCAAGACGCGCGGGGAAGGCGGCTCCGGGCCTGGGGCCCTGCGGAGGGCTGGTGCCGGCCGTGCAGAAACGCCACCTGCTGGTGGGCGTTGGCGTGGGCAGCCAGCAGCCTCATTTCCCGCCGCCCGGCGGCAGGCGTGTTAAGGCCCCTCTGGCTGGCTGGATGGGGGGTGGACTGGGCGGGCAGGTCAGCGTGTTTTCTCCTGTACATTTCCCTCTTTCAAAAACATTTCCCACACCCTTTGCAGTCATCCTCCGTCCCCTGACCTAGGTAAACATATACTTTTGTTCATTCTAGAATTTCACTCATAGATACTGTATTGTACTTTTGGGGGGTCTGGCATGATGTCTCTGATTATGGTTCTGATTCATCCGCTTTGTTGGGTATATCAGTGATTTGCTTCTTTCAAATCAGTGAGTGGTACAGGTGTAACATTTGTTTATTTGATCGCCTGGTGATAGACAGTTTTACTGACTGCAGTTTTTCACTATCATGAATAATGATGCTATGAACCCTACTGTAAAAATCTTTTTGTGGACATGCTTTCATTTCTCTTGCAATAGCTTGTCATAGGATAAATGTATGATTACTCTGTTAAATGTTAAATACAGGATTAAATGTATAGTTAAATGTACACTTAACTACGTGAAAATTGCCTCTTTTCCACCAATAACGAGTTACAGTTCCAGTTGCTCTGCATCTTGACAATCATTTGGTATAATTTTTTTTTTTATAATTTTAGCCATTCTAGTGCATATGTGATGGTAACTCATGGGCTTCTGAAACACTGAGATACAATTTACATACCACAATATTCACCCTTTTAAAGTGTACTTTTCAATGGTTTTTAATATATTCATAGACTCGTGCAACCTTCACGACTATGTAATTTCAGAACATTTTCATCACTCCAAAACCCTTTAGTTCCTGGAAGAATGCTTATCTACTTTCTGTATCTGTGGATTTGCCTATTCTGAACATTTCAGGTAGATGGAATGATAAAATGTGGCCTTCTGTGTCTGGATTCTCTCAGTATACTGTCTTCAATGTGGATCCGCACTGTGGCATTTATCAGACTTCATTCCTCTTTATGGCCAAATAATATTCTGCTGTGTGTATACACATACACATTTTGTTCACGCATTCCTTGTCGATGGACATTTAGGTTGTTTTCGCTTTTTGGCCACTGTGAATAAAGCTGCTCTGAACATTCATGTACAAGATTTTGGTTTTTTTTTTGTTTGTTTGTTCTATTTAATAGTTTTTGGCCATGCGTTGCAGCATGTGGGATCTTAATTCCCTGACCTGGGATCAAACCCGCATCCCCTGCACTGGGAGCATGGAGTGTTGACCACTGGACTGCCAGGGAAGGACAGGTCTTTGATGGGCATGTTTTTACTTCTATTGGGCATATATACACCTAGGATTTCACGCATGGATATTGTATTTCTGTACTTTTGGGGGGTCTGGCACGATGTCTCTGATTATGGTTTCTGATTCATCCACTTTCTTGGGTGTATCAGTGATTTGCTTCTTTCAATCAATGAGTGGCACAGGTGTAACATTTGGGGCTGCTGGGTCATGCTGTAACTCTGCTCCACAAACTCAGCTTCCCTGACTCTGAGCTCTGCCTCCTCAGCTCTGCTTGGGGTCCCCTCCCCTCCGGAGGTACGGCCACGCCTCCAGGAAGAAGTCCTGAGCGACTGTACGGCTCACCTTGTTCCCTTCCCTCGGGGATCTCAGTCTTGTGCAGTCTGTGGTCCAGCGTCTGAAAGCTGTGGTTTTATTTTGTCCAATTTTCTGTTGTTTATAGCAGAAGAGATAGTCTAGTTACTCCATTAAGTCTGGAAGCTGAAGACCTATATTTAAGATACCGCTATCTGATAACTTCAACTTCTAGCTCTAAGAGGACTTCCCTGGTTAAGAATCCACCTTCCAGTGCAGGGGATGTGGGTTCGATCCCTGGTCGGGGAACTAAGTTCCCACACAACAAGGAGCTACTGAGGCCCCGTGATGCCACTAGAGAGAAGCCTTTGAGCCACAGTGAGGAGCCCGCCTGCCGCAACTAAGACCCAACACAGCCGAAAATCATTACATATTTTTTTAAAAATAGTAAATTTCTAGGGAGACTTAAAGTGGGTGGTTGTTTCCGCTGACACTCATGGCACTCTGTTAACTTGTATGTTTTTTTCTGTCTCTGTGAGCTTGTCTTTGGTCAAGTTTAACCTGGGAAGGAATCAGGAGAAGTCTAAATTGGGATTGCTTCTTCCAGAGATTATTTGTCTTTGCTTCTATTAGGTACCATGGATACAAAATTAATCTGAGAACACTTAAATTTTTCTGCTGGGGATTTTTCTAACCTGTTGAAAAAGTTAAAACTCTGGGGCTCTGTAAGAGTGAGCATATTGGGTGTGAATTCTCAAGAACCACCATCGCCATCACCACCATCATCATCACCATCATCACCACCATCATCACCACCATCACCACCACCATCATCACCACCATCATCACCACCATCATCATTACCATCATCATCACCATCATCACCACCATCATCACCATCATCATCACCATCATCATCACCACCATCACCACCATCATCACCACCATCATCATCACCATCATCATCAGAACCACCACCATGATCACTCAGCCACAGAGAAGACTCATTGGTTTCCAGCATTTTCTCTAAGGGTGTAGCCACCTTCCAAGGTCTCAGATTAATGCAGAGGTCTCAGTTTTGGTGCTCTGCCTTTATGAGAGTCTCTTTAATGAGACCATTAAGCCCCACAGCTCTAGGGTTCCTGTTACCAGCCTTTGCCACCAGCAGCTCGAGCTTCTATTTCTTGTTACTGGTCACTGTTCTGCTTTCAGTCCACTGTTCCTTCTTGTGTATGACCACATTTTTCATGCTTTCATTTACCCTCTTGTGAGCTCAGCAATGCATATAAAATGCTCGGTGTAATTTATTGAGGATCTAGTTGAGTCATAGTGGGTGGATTTTTTAGGATATTCAATCTGACATATACATCATTCTTTGGAAGCAGAAATCCTCCACATCAGTGACTTCATCTGCAAAGAATGGAGATGATCTGATTTCTGAGGATTGTTGCAAGGAATGGAAATATGCGAAAGGAATGTATACTTAACATAAAACTTGGCACAGATGGAGACTGCCCGCAGTACCCATTCTGGGGGTTTGTTGCTTAAACTGGGGCTCTCTCTGAGGACAGACGGCCTGAGCACTGATGCAGCGGTCAGCAGGAGCCGGGTTTGAATCCTCACTCAGCTCTTCTTATGCTCTGATATTATTTACCTCTCTAAACCTCAGTCTCCTTGTCTCTAAACTCAGGTAATAGACAACTGCCTATCTCACAAGTCTGTTACAAGGCTCCAAGGACATCATGTCAGTGACCCTGGTCTACAATGCTGCGTGGAGGTGCCAGGGATCATTAGTGGATAGAACGGGAGGGAGAGGGATGGCTTTTTGAAGGTGCAGTGCTCTGTGTCCGTGAAACGGGATTGGCCGGCAGCGTTACTGAGTCCCAGCTCGTGCTGCTGGCTGCCCTACAGGCCAGTCAATCAAGAGACGAGGTGCTGGGTCAAGAAATAGGGACTTGACTTGAAAAGCCAGCAGGCTGAGATGATGGTGGACTCACGTCCCGAAGACCCATCTTGCCTGAGTTAGAATTCAGGTTTCTTTTCTACTAAAAGGGGAGGGGAGTAAAGTCAAACACTTCCTGGTTCCCATCAGCCTCCAGAGTTGGGGGGTGTGAACTTCTTCCTCCTACAGTCATTCACAGGCATGAGACAGGCCTGGGACCTGGGACCCTCGGCTGCAGTGCTTGCACCTGGACACACCCCTCCTCAAGTGACAAAACACAAGAAAAGACACAGACTAAAAATAACTGCGTGCTGTGCAGTCAGGGCAAATTCTGGACAAAAAATACAAAGAGATGAAAAAACCCAACTGCTACTTTTGAAGAGCCCCAATCCAAAGCAAAGGGGTGGCAAAACACAAGGCACTGTGCGTGCCCCCTGCACTCAGCATCACCTGAAGGGGCGAGCCGCCCGAGCCACCCCTCGGGCGTCACCCCAGACACAGCCCTCCCCTCCCCTCCCATTAGAGACAAGCTTGCCCTCCTCCAGGGAGCGATACGGCAAGAGAACGTGTTGTTTGTTCTTGACCCCACTGCTGCTGCAGGGCCCCCAGTAAAGCCTCGCCTGAAGTTCTTGTCTGGCCTCTGATCAAGTTCCATTGATCACAGAGGGCAACAGGAGCTTCCTGGGTGGCTCAGTGGCAAAGAACCTGCCTGCCAGTGCAGGGGACTTCAGAGACACGGGTTTGATCCCTGGGTTGGGAAGATCCCTGGGGTAGGAAATGGCAACCCGCTCCCCTGGGAAACCCCATGGCCAGAGGACACTGGTGGGCTACAGTCGTTGGGGTCGCAGAGAGTCAGACACAGCTGAGCAATTGAGCAGAGCACAGTAGCAGGGGCGCCAAGAAGCCCGCCAGTAACAGGTGGGCCTGGTCAGGAGGGCTCCCTCGAGCTAAACAAAGGTATTTCAGCGGCATGCTCCTCCCCTGGGAGGCAGGATTCCCAGAGATGGGCCATTATGTGCAATTTAAGCTCACAGGCAGCATCCCTTTAGCGATTAACTTGTGACAGAACACAAAGCTTCTTCCCTAGGCCAGGAGCAAAGGGTGGTGGGGAACACTCAGAGTGGGGAGAGGAGGCGGAGCAGGCTGCCTGGGTCTGAAACCAGCTCCGCCCGTCGCTCGCTGCTTGGCCTGTGCAATCAGGGACTTCCCCACGCTCTGGCTTCCTCATCTGTAAAAGGAGGGCGAATAGCAACCATGCGGCTGTTTTGACGAGCTGACGGTCCATGGAACACACCTCCCTGAGCTCCTACCCGGGCACATAGTAGGTGCTGGATTCGCAGGAACAGCTCCCATAATGGGGACATTTGAAAGCCAGAGAAACGTGGCCCACGTGTGACTGGGCTGTCAGAGATGATGGAGGAGTATTTTGCACTTCAACTATGTGAACCAAGTGTGAACTTGGCTGCGAGAGCTGCGATTTTCATATTTGGAAAACAGACAAAAGCAAGAGAAAAACACTCAGCAGAGGCAAGAAGATTCGCCAAAAGTTTTAAAAATAATTGCGGCAAATGATTTCACACCAGCCCCTTAGGCTGAGGATATATGTTTTCCTGTAGAAAATGCCTATTAAAAACTCTGGATGAGAATCTTGGAAGAGCAGATG